CTGATCTACTGGCGTAGACTGGGTCAGTAGATGTCTTGGGTTGTCTTGGGTTGTATGATGATTAGGGTCCAATCCAATAACTCAGCCCTAACTCCATACCAGGACACCACCTTGGTTTACAACTGCGAGTATATCAAATAGAATGGCCATATTGATTTACGGCTGCGACTGTACAACATAATGAAAAGCATGTGCCCCTATTAGGGTAGAAAATATATGACAAGAAAACATAAATATTTTATTCAGTATCGGACCTCTATCCCCGAATCTCCCAGAGTCGGATGCCACCTTGCTCATTACCAACAGCCAACTGTTCCGAGTTCGGTGAGATAGCCACCGAGGAAATGCGACCCAACGGCGTGTTGGAAGTAGGCCAGTTACGATATACCGTGCAGGTAGGAAGGTGAACTGTAGAAGAAACCCGGTTAGCAAAGAACCCACAAAAGACAAAGCACAAGAGCCACAAAACATACCAAGACGTAAAGCATCACGCTTCCACCGACTCGCCATAACCATCATCTGCCCATCAGGCGCAAATACCAAATGGCTGATGGGGGTAGTGAGCTGATCGAGCACACGCACAGGGTCAGGGTTGCGCGGGATACCAGCCTGAGCCGGGGAATCCTTCTCAGCAGCAGAAGCATTCGCATATGCAGCCGCCCACTCGCGACGATCATAAACGTTAACAATACCACTGGAAGAACCGATCGCAACCCAACGATCTCCACCAAGCTGAGTCCGGCCAGAGCGACCACCAAGGCTGAGAACCGTCGTGCCAACAGCACCGGCATCGACCCAGCGCGCCACAACACGGCCTACACGGCCATCCCACTCAGACACTTCACCGTTCTTCGACACAACTGTCATACCCTCTCCGTCAGACCACCAGGCGAAGTCTGCGACACCGCCGCGGCCGTCCACACGCACCTGTGCGATCCACTGCGCGGTGTTGGCGTCCAGGACGTTGATCAGACCGCCGCCCTTGCGGGCAGTGCCGACCAGGCCGACGAAGCGGCCGCACGGCGAGAGCTTGAAGCGCTCCATGGACTTTTGTTCTTCCTTGCGGTCGGATGAGCCATTGACTTTGTCGACTTTTCCGGTGTCCAGGTCCCAGATGTGGAAGTAGCGCCGGCGGCCGGAGGCAAAGATCTTGTTGCCTGTGGGTGCGGCGAAGGCGGACGTATGAATTGGTGTGCGCTTGATGTGCAGGGAGGTGAGGAGGGGGTTGGGGGCGGGAGCGGAGGGAGAGATGTGGTGCAGGAAAAGGGTGGAGGCTGGTCCGGAGGAGAGCAGGAGCGGGTAGTGCGGGTGGAAGTTCAGGGAGTCGACGGAAGAGGGTTGGGATTTGCCGATGTCCTTCAGTCTCTGGATGTCGATGACTTCCTGGCGCAGCTTGCGCTTTCCGCCGGAGCGCGCGTTGTCTTCTATGCGCGTCAGGTCGGAAGCATTTTGGAGGAGCTTGGCTAGAGGCTGCATGGAGAGATTCTCGTTCTCGTCATCCGAGTCGATCGCCTCGCTGTCTGCGTCCGAGTCCGAGTCCGTCTTGCGGCGTTTGAGCTCAGGCGTGGCCCACTCTGGTGTCGGGTGCAGGCGTGTGAACTGTCTGCGCAGTCGTCGGACGTATTCCTTGCCGCTGACTACATCTTCGGCTTCGGTGTTGCGCAGTTTGCGCAGCCTGGCTTGGCTTGCTAGCGACACAGCGAGGCGCTCGTCGTCGCTGTCGTACCATACTGCGGGTTCGTCCTCTTCTTCGTCGTCCTCAGCGTCCGATGGGGTTTCCGGCGATGGGATGAAATCAGTAGTGGGGGGTGCACCGGAGTCAAGGAAGAAAAGCTAGATAAAAGCAGGATTGTTAGATCGAAAGGTTGAGATCTGTAAATGCATGGGAGTGGAGTCGCATACGTCTGAATCGGCTAGAGCAGCCAAATCCTGGCCCTCGCCTTCCTCGGCATCTTCGCCATCATCACTCTCGTCATCACTGTGCAGAGTAAGAGCCATACCGGCCTCGCGAGCCTGCTGGTCCTTCAATGCGCCCATGAACCCCTCATCGTCACCAAAAAGCATACGCTCTAGCTTCTTCTCCGCCTCGTCTTTTTCGGGCACATCGTCTTCATCGGAGCTCGTTTCGTCGTCCATCTCGACATCTGACTCCTCCGGGCGGAGATTGGCCGTAGTGTTCTCGAACGGAGACCGGGTGGTCGTCCGCTTGGACTTTTCCTTTAGCCCTACGTTAGGCATGGTAGTTGCTGCGGGAATATCTGCCAATAAAGCACAACTGCTTGCAGACTCGGTCACCGAATTGATACTTGAATGCAATAATGCAATTGTAGGCTGCAAATGTTCCTCAGGCGGAGCTTGAATATTTTTCTTCTTTGATTTTTCCAGAATCTGCAGAACAGGGCGGTGTAAAAGGCGGCATGTGATGTTGCCTTGGATTTAGGGCATCAAGCCGGGATAGTTATCAAAGTCCAAATAAACTTTGATAACCTCATTTGACATCCTCTATCCATGGATGTATGTAGCTATAAGAAATCGATATGAAGCGTCACAATTAGAGTTGAAGCTGTTTTTCTCCTTTTGTACTTTAAAAAAATGCGGTAATAAAACTAGGGACAAGCAGCCAGAATAAGAGACATTAACTAGTTGCTTCATTGTGGCTCCGGATACAATTCCTCAATACATATGATTGCAATAAGATGATTCGATTACGAGTAATACAAATAATAGGTATCCAAACTATCCAAATGCACAACCTGGGTGTGTGCACGCTAGGTAGCAGGGGGAATGATATGTAATAGTCATACTAATATGGAAGAGCGAAATATTCGTATACGCGTTAAAGATCACTAGTAACACCACAACAAAGCAAATATGAAAGCTCCAAAGCCCGAACACAAAGGAACATTCAGTGATGTGTTGAACTAGCTTTGGGGTCAGGTTCATCACCACTGCTACTCGGGCTCGGAGGTTCATATGGAGGAACAGGATTGTGATCCTCAGGAAGCAAATGCTCGGATTCTTGAAGAGCGAGAGCGTCTGCAGTAGCCTTCGGCTGCGAGGCGGTTCTCGTGGATTTCCCGGGTTCTTCGTCATCAGAATCAGTTGAATATGTCTCGTCCAGGCCGGCAAGAAGAGCCTCCCGACGGTCAGCATCATCATCTGTGGCAGCATCTCCAATCGTGTCATCCACCGCATACTGTGAGACTGGTTTCTTGATGAATATGTCGATGATATAATACTGGATGGCGTTCATGATGACTGGGAAAAGAAGCATGACGAAGAAGATCTGGACGGCGGTATTGCCCTCTGTCCATCTTAGAGCCCAGTCGCCGATTTTGACAATGAAAGGTAAGAGCTGGATGAGAAAGAAGACACATATTTTCATGCCGAGCAATCCCATGAAATAAACGATGGCCTGTTTGAGCCACCATGTTACCCGTGGGGGCTGGCCATAATTTCCCGACTCTATCGATTCTGGGGGATTCGCAAGAGGTGTGTAGGATGCCAAATAATTGAGCACACGGAGAAGGAGTATCAGAATGGGGATACCGAGGGTAGTCTGTTGCATCAGTTAGCCAGCAGCTCCTCAAAAGAGATCAAAGGAAAATCGGTAGAAACGCACGTCGATTCCCAGGTTCAGTAAGTAAAACGAGCATGGGTTCGGCTTGTACGAGTTTCGAATCTCCAGCTGGCCCGCAGAAAACATCGACATGACCAGATTTAGCATGTGAAGCATCACCGACCCGAAGACTTGTTTTGAGACGTCAAAGGCCCAGACCTTCACCGGGCGCTGTGGTCGTTCTCTCCACCTCTTAAAGACTAGAGATAATAATGCGAGGCCGCCAAGAGCAATCTGCACAAACACAGAGAATGGACCAAGCAGCTTGCATTCTCCTCCTTCGCCATTTGGATCCTGCCCTGGACTGGAAGAATTTGCTGCATGATAGTATAGTGTGTGTGCACCCGAGGGTGTTGGAATAGCTAGGGTGCCAGTAGCAGCGATAAGCGTGTTCGTGGCTATCGAAGCCAACGAGCCGGTCGTATCGCCCATCATTTATTAGTCTGGCAAAACCAGTAAGATAGTGAGAAAGCGCAGGTGGAAGGCGACATAGGCTGGGAACCAGATAGTAATAGTAAGCTAGTAACCTTGGGAAGGTTGGTCAAAAGCGGAGACGGCTGAGCCGGACGTCATACGCGTGACATCGAAATGAGTGGCAATGAATCGGATGAATGGATAAGTAGGAAGTAGTCTAAACTGGAAGCAGTTCTTTATGAGCGTAGTTAAAAAGAAGTTATGGAAAGGAAAACGGAATAAAGTGAGGGAGTTTCCACTTACGGTCGTAGGCGGTGTCAGTGTCCCCGCAGCGGGATCGACAAGATAGCATTTCTCTTCCAAGGTTTTGCACAGTACGGCTATCTAAGGGTCTTGGTCTTGGCATGATATTACTATCTACATACATATATGTATGTATTTTGATATATATTTTGTATGTAAATTAATGCCAAGCTTGGAATTCCCTGCATGATAGTGGGTATCATACGCCAGCCTTACGTAGATAGCTAGACCCCGGTTTTAGCTTGATATTGTATATCCAGATGATACAAAGCTCGAAACAGCTCAAGATTCGACTCGTTTGTCACTTCCAGGGGTGTGGCATTCAGAGGAGCCTTTGAATCTAGCATCTAGTCATAGCACAGAGAATGTTGGAGCAAAGTGGAGGGTCGAATTGACGAAGAGAGTAATAGTAGTAATGGTTAAATAGAATAAACATAAAAAGAAATCAGATCTCGCCGGTGTGTTGTTCACATCATTTCTGGGTCAATATATGACGACCAGAACCAGCCTCGCCCACCATCAAACCCTCTGAAATAAGAAAAAAACCCCAGGGAATAAAAAACGCCGGAAACCCCTGGACCAAGCCGCGATTGAATAGTAGAGCCGTTGCAATACCATGCGCAGCTAAATGCTAGCAGAGGGAAGAGAAAAAGAATTCGTCACATCATTCTATCCCGTGTTGCTGTTTGAGCCGTTCTAAATTCTCCTGCCTTTCCGTAATGTCCTCTTTCGTACGGACCATCTTCTCTGGCTGATGATACAAGACTATAACAAGACCCGAAGTTAGTCATCGCCAAAGAATGCCCGATACTCATTTGATCCATATGCAATACGTACCGACCAAGTATCTGTTCTGGAAGTTGAAACCATTAAGCTTATCGCATGCCTGCTTGGCGTCGTGAACGTCCTCGTAGACAACGAAAGCGGTTCCTTTGGAGGTATTGGCGATGCCCTGGCGAATTTGCCTGGAAATTAAATGGTATTAGATCGGGTTCTAGCACAAGGCCACGGGTGACTATTTACCGAATGGGGCCAAATTTGCCAAATAGGTCGAACAGTTGCTCGGCTGTTACGTTGTAGCTGTTGAGAAAGATGTCAGCGATCCGATCGCGATTGTAAATGGCGAGTTGCAGGGCTGATCCGCCGGGAAAGCGGGCCGGTGCAAAGCGGCGAAATTCAGGTACATACTTGAGGTTCTTGACGAAGAGAATCCTGTAAAAGCAGAAATAAGAGGTTAGCGCTAGTCACTTCAAAATGTCAGGGGTCTCCTAAACCCAACAAGCAAGCATTTGATGGTGAAATGGCACTTGTGCCGAGAATCGGGGGAGGGGCATGGAAAAAGTATTCTCACATACCGATTGGCTTCGGGGGCGAGCTTTCGGCTCATTCTCAGAGGCGAGAGAGTCCTAGAAGATGTTGAATGAAAGTGGCGACAAGAAAGATACGCAAGGTATCAGTTGCAGGTTGGAATAGCGAAGAGGCAGAAGATCAGAGCAAGGCACAAGAACAACCACGAGGTTTGTCTTGGCGGTGCGCTTACTTATCCCGGTTTAGTGGCAGTTGGTTCTTAAACCGTATGTGACCAGGTCATGTGATCGGGATGAGCGTGGTGATCTGCCAAACTTAGCACGTGATGGTATTGTGATGGTATCGGACTGTATTATCAAGACGGACGTTCTCGGCGTCGCCAACTTCCTTTGGACTACAGAGAATTGAGCATCTGGGGGAAAACAACCAAGTAAACATTATCGCATATTGTAATGAGTACTTTTTGATCTTTATATCTTATATATACCACTGAAAACTTTTCTAGTAAAAGTGATAGGACACAAACGTAATGTAGGAGCCCGCAGCTGTACCGTATACATACCTTCGAAGTTGCTACTCGACTCCCGCTTCTTCCTTCGCCTTAACACCTCGCGCTCATCCGCTCCTCTCTCGCTTTCGGCGCTTCATCCATTCGCATACTTGTTATTTCTCATCCAGTTGACAGGAAACGATTCCTGGCTACTGGATCTCATTCGATTCCCTTCCCTACCTGCCCGCAGGTTGCGGCGCGACTCTCGGCGCCTTTGTCCTCCCGCCGCTCGATTCGAACCCCCTCAACGCTCCGCGACTACTGTCGACCACCTACTTCGCCCTCAATCTTTCATCAAATATCAATCACATACTTGCGGTTCGTCTTGCGCATGCTCTCCTGCCAGGAATGACATTCCCTTCGCCTGCGCCGGCCTCTCGCTAGCCCGTGTGGTCCAGTATCCCCGCTTTGCACCCACCTACCGCAAGCGCAGCTTTTCGCACCTCCGACCCTCTATCTTCAATTTTCTTTCACCTATACTTTCACCGCGTTGCGAAAATGATGAGCGCGGCATCATTCGCGAATCCCATCGGCGGCCGCCCGCCGCAGTACCGTACTCCGTCCCCTCCTCTCCGCGCTGTCGAGCCTATCACTCCATCCACAACCACCGATTTTCACCCCTCTTGGGCCATCCGCGGCCCTCCCCGAGCTGCTAGCCTTGATCGCGACCAGCTTCCTTCCAATCACAATCGACATGTTGCCGCAGAAAGTGGTTCACACCAGCGATCGGGCCATGGCCGCTCAAGCTCGACTATCGACACACTTGCGACGATCGCCCTCGCAACGAGTCCAACCTTCGCATCCCTCCCTCCCAATCCTTCTTCCCCCAGCCTTCGGTCGACAATACCCTTATTTCCACCCGACTCCGCAGAGTCTGAACGACCAGCCAAGCGGGCACGGTCGGCGAGACATCCCTCACCCTACCGCCCGGGCCCAGGAATGCTGACAGAAAACCCACACCCAGCTGGGCTCGAAAGCATGACAACCGATGCCGAGCTTTTACTCAATCTCGCGCGGCCTACTAATTTTCACCCGAGTAATCATACAAAACGAGTCAGCATCGACGAGACCTTCCACCACTACGCAGGCGACGCGATTCGTCAAGCTCGAGTTGGGTTTTCTGCCGTTGGACATCCAGGCCAGGGCGATGTCAAGATGAGCCACAATTCCGAGGACATACCTTATGCCCGCATGCGCTCTCGCTCTGACGGGTCGGCCTTCATATCCCGTCCCGCTATTCGTGGAATCCGCCCAACCACTAGCTCCGGCACTCTCCCACCAATTGTTTGGGAGGACGAACACGAAGGCAAAGCCTTCCATCCACCAGCTGATACGCCTCATACCGCTTATGGGATCCAACCTCCGGCCGATCCTCGGGAACCTCAATTCCCGCAGAAGTCCCTGCCCATTCCACCAAAACTGGAAGAGGAAGAGGGTGATACCAATCAAGCAAGCTGCGGAGCATGTCATCTAGTGCGCATCCCAGTTGAGACCGAGGAACAAGATGAAGACACATGGATCAGTTGCGATGGATGCAAACGATGGTTCCATATCGTTTGCGCGGGCTTCAAAAATGATCGAGAGGTTCGCACAGTCGACAAGTTCATCTGCCGGCCATGTCGATCAATTTATGGCCAAACGACTTTTGTGCGCAAGTCCTCGCGCGCTAGAACAGCCATTGACTACGCAGGCCTGAACCAAGGCCTCGTCAAAGCTGCCACTGACTCGTTGGAGCATCACTATCTCGAGCCCATTCGTCAAGGAAAGATCCGGTTTCAACCTGAGAATTTCCCACGAATGAAGCCTGAGCTGGTCACAGCGGAATACTTCGAACGAGGAAATGGCTGGACGGAGCCTATCGTTATACCTGCCTGCTGGAACTCCTGCGAACCTGTTCCCTCGGAGAATCCAGACTTCGAATCTCTTGTACAGGAGGCTTCGTCTCAAGAGATGTTCGATGATCTTCTTGAGAACCACCCCGAACAAGAGACCCATATTGAAGAAACATTCGATTGTGGCCAAGACCTCTTGGGTATGGTCATTCCACGGGGTCTCACTGTTCGTGCTGTGGCAGAGCTTTACGGGCCCGACGAAAGAGTTGAAGTGATCGATGTCAAGTCTCAGCAAGGAGAGGACAAGAGGTGGAACATGCAGAAATGGGCCGATTACTATGAAAGCAATGAGCAGGACAAGCCTGTCAGGAATGTCATCAGCTTGGAGGTATCGCAGAGCAAACTTGGCAGACTTATCCGGCGACCGAAGGTCGTGCGTGACTTAGATCTGCAAGATGCTGTGTGGCCAGAGGAACTGAAAGCAATTGGCGAATATCCCAAAGTTCAATTCTACTGCCTGATGTCTGTTGCCGACTGCTATACTGACTTTCACATCGACTTCGGAGGGTCTTCGGTGTACTACCATATCCTGAAGGGCAAGAAGACTTTCTTCTTCATTCCTCCCAAAGACAAACACCTCAAGAAGTACGAGGAGTGGTGCAACTCTCCCGCCCAGGACTCGATTTTCCTTGGAAACCAGACCAAGGAATGCTACCGTGTGGATCTTTCCGAGGGAGACACCATGCTAATCCCGTCCGGCTGGATTCATGCAGTTTGGACCCCGGAAAACAGTCTGGTTATTGGTGGCAACTTCTTGACCAAACTGAACTACGGGATGCAAATCAAGATCCTCAACATCGAAAAGGAGACCAAAGTCCCCAAGAAGTTCCGATATCCTTTCTTCCAAAAGATCCAGTGGTATACGGCTCAAAAGTATCTGGAGGATGACCCTGTCCCGCAAAATGTGATGGATGCATTCATGCAGGATGAGAACTATCGGTTCCACCGTCAATATCCAATTTATTATGAGTTTGGAGAACGCGCCAACCAAGAACCTGCAGGTTCTCCCCATCATAATGCACGTTTTTATTCCCAGGCGGAGTTGGAGGGCCTACTTGAGTTAACTAAGTATTTGCTGCGGACCGCACTCATTGCGGGTGGCTATACCGTTGATGGAGTCATCTCCATGGACGTTCGAAACGCTGTCAGACGATCCATTCCCAAAATCACGGGAGATCCCGTGGACATGATCAGAAAATTCGGAATTTGGGTCGCCTGGAAACGTGGTAACGAAAAGGCACCCCTCTGGACTCGACCTGGCATCATCGAAAGCAATCCCAAGGTGTCTATTACAGACAAAAAGCCCGCGGGACGACCAAGCCGCCGATCCGAGCGCAATGTCGATAACCAGCGCACCTATGCCGAAAGACAAGCGGTCCAGTGGCCTTCAGAAGAGGCCCCTGCAACCCCGAATCCCCCAGCCAGCAGCCTTGCTTATCCACAGTCTGATGGAAGTGCAACGCCGGCACCATTCAGTGTTGCTCCAGAAACAAGCATCACAGATATTGCTACACCCAAGCCCCGGGCTGTGCAACGAGCCTCTGGTCTTGGCCCCAAGCGAGTTGCATGTGACGCCTGTCGCAAACGACGCATTCGATGCCGACACAAAGATGAACCCGGTGATCTAGTTCTGAACGGGCAAGCCGCAGTCAATGCCTTCACACCCGGCTCTGGGGTGAGCACGCCGTCCTCGTTGGCCCAGGATGCTGTGTCTGCTTTGAATTCTTTGGCAGCGATTGCATCACAAACTGGATTTCAAAACAATGGGCATCTTGTCGACCTGGAACGATTCGAGAGCTCGGCAAGATTCCAATCCGCGGTTATGGGCAACTCTACGATAGCTGCCAATCGTCTCATTGATGTGAGCCCTGACGGAACCAATGGAGGAAAAAAGGGGCGCAGCAAGGCGTGCGATGATTGTCGGAAGAGCAAGGTTTGTGGTTCCCCCGAAGACTTCTTTTGCTCCTTTTCCGGTTACTGACCTAATACTAGCGCCGTTGCATTCACGATGAGTACGGTCGGATCGATCCAGTCAAGGCTCAAGAGCGCTCTAAACCTCGTGCGAATGCTTCCGCTAAACGAGCACGCCTAGCTGAAGAGGATGACCTCCCTGCCACAGCTAAAAAAGCGAAACAGGAGAGCACATCACCCATGACACAGCCTACAGTATTCTTCGATCATGATGGCGATGAACTGATGACGCAAGGCAACCTGATGGATGCTTATGATCACGAGCCTTTCAGTCAAATTGACTCGGGTAAGCATCTGCCTGAGGCAAGTGAGGCCCCTCAAAACCAAGTTCTGTACGCATCACCGCCACCTGCGCCTTCTTTCCAGGCCGAATCTATGGTTACAAAAGATTTGAATTCTGTGTCTGTGTCTTCCTCCAAGCCGACCACCTCCTTGGTGTCGCCGCCCACGTCGCTGGCCGACGAGATGGATGGAGTCCAAGAGGGGGATGCCGTACAGTCTGTGGAAGGCGAAGTGTCAACTGCTCTCCACACACCCAGCTCTAGCTCTCGACATTCATCTCGCCAACCTCGACACGTGGTGGATCGGTTCGCGCCCGATGCTAATACAGCCCGGGCTCCGAAGCCAGCGGCACGAGCCACGTCTTCGACCATCGGGGTACGCAAGACCACTCCCGTTCCAGCATCGACAAGAAAGCCTTCATCACGTCCCTCGTCTTCGCACGCGAAAAAGAGCTCTCCGATGTATGAAAAGCATTTCCATCGTCACGCTCCTACATCACTATCTCCACGTCAGCACAAGCATACTCATCACATCACTGGAGACGAAGATGCAGACGAGGAAAGTCTTCGTTTGATACGAGAACTACAAGAACAAGAATTTGGTCTGCGGAAACGATCGACAAGAGTTTAGCTTCGCAGAAGGCATCCGGTACAGATGAGAGATGTAGAATGGGTTTATGTTGTTTTTGTTCGGGAATATCAATTTATCAAGGGCTCAGGGGAAATCCGGTGTTTATTTTGAGTACGTTTTCCATGTTATTTTCTGGCGTTTTCTGGGTCTGGGCTGGGGAGTTTGGCTTTTGATATCAATTGTTGCATCAGCTGCTTTTCTCTGTGCTTTGCTTTTCTACCTCTGATTTCCCCTTTTCTTTTCACTCGTCTTTTTCTTTAAATTATTTTATTCCCTGTGGATTCTTCTTATTTATTATGCAGGGGCCTCTTCACAACCAACACTTTGCTTCCTAATCTTTTGTTGGGCTTTCTCTCTCCCCTTCGGCTGCGCACAGCAAGGTGTTTTATGCAATAGTCTCGTATATGTACTTCTTTTTCATTTTGAGACAACTCTGCGTTACCCTCATGCATCCATCAGCAATAGGGTTATGTAGCAACTTCAATCTATGTTTGATATGTTTTGCTCTTGAGTTCTCATGTCAGTTGCCCGATCTAGTGGCTGGTACTTGTGTGTCATAGATGTTTGTCGATTCATCTTTTGTTTCCTTGCTTTTCATTACCATATTCAACAATTTCCACTAATAACTCCCAATCCAAACTGCATACTGTTACCGCCCAGAGCCAAAACGTCACCAGCGCTAGAGGTATATATTTCCAACGAAGTATGTCGGACAATTAAAGAATACGGGACTCCTGTGTTCTGGAACTACCAAATGCATGCTATATGTCATATAGTATAGTAATCGCTTGGTAATACCTGTATTTCCCTCCCCCGGAATGCAGCCGGGACAACATAAAGAGATGATACGCGATAGCGCATTACTAGCTGCATGAGATCGTATTCAACAAAATCTCCGGGTTAGCAGAGCCGAGGTCGATTCACTATAGTGCCCCCTGCATGTATAGAGACCCTGTGCACCAAATCCAGGATATCTACCTGGGCAACCTATCCGACCCCAGCTCAGGTCACTGAGGTCAGTACAGATTCAGTCGCTGGCTCAGCGGTCCGCAGCACTAGTGGTATAGTATCCGTCATCGCCTCAGCTGAGCTACTCCAAAGCACAGAGTACAAGCCGTTTTCAGTTTGTCTCGCGTAAAAGTTGGCCCCGCTCACACTGACTAGGACGTAGCTCCCATACAGGGACCACACATTGCTGAGCTGGTTTGTCTGTTCTCTCGATGTTGTTCCAGTAAATCCGACTGGGTTGGAGTTTGTGCTGCCCTGCTCTAGACACAGTTTATTGGTATTGGTCGAGAGGGTAGTGACGCCCTCGGTGGAACTGGGATGTGCCGTCCAGGTGTTCGACCCATCAGTGGAGGCGGTGACTGTTACATGGTTAGCTTTAGATCCTTGTGTTCGCATCAAGTAGAGATCGCGGATTCTTACAGTTGACTGGGGTCATTGCGGCCATTGTCGCTGCGCCTACTTTGGATGCATCTGCAACATGGGCAGTACCTATTGTCACAGTGGTATAAATCAGTCAATGCTGCTGTGTTGCGAGCTTAGAAGGGCTGAGCTACCGTTCAAATAGGAGATGGGCAGTCCGCTAATGCCTGGGCCATACGCATACAGCTTGAAGGAAGTGGTATCGGTTAACTGTCGCTTTTCAAGTGGCTGCGCAGAGCAGATGAGCCCAAAGGCTAGAAGTGGAAGAATAGAAAAGGATAGCATATTGCAATGAACAACTCATACGGGGTGTACAGGGCAGTGTATCAGGACAGGATTGAGCTAAACTTATAGAATAAGAAAGAGTCACGAGGGCATAGTCGATGAGATAACAGTTGATGTAATTAGAAATTAGGAGCAGGCAGCGTACTAGTAACTACCCAATGACATATGTTGGTTTCATCGGTGATTCTTCTCTTTATTTCCCGACACTATGATCCAAGCCCCGTTTTGTGATTTGGACTGGTACGAGCTGACGATGAGACCAAGATCCCAGTCAAAAAGAAATTGTCAGCATCTGGCTGTGTTCCAAATCAGAATCCAGATCCCGACTATTACAACCCCAATGGTCAATCTCCCTTATTGACTCTTCGGCGTTTCACTTTGATAATTTGAGAAATATAAAGTCCTAGTTCGGTGGAAATCCAGGCTGTCGATCTTCTCGATAGTACTCTTACGAGAGAAACGCAGCCACCTGCAATGTCTAACTCCAAATGGGCAGTGCGCACGTGTTCTGGGAGACAGTGTAACATCAATCCAGCCGCTGGGAAGGCCCTTGAGCCGACCATCAGAAGATGGTTTGAATGGTGGACGGTCCCTGGCATGGATACGAGGCCCATTAAACTTACTATTCGGGTATCCACTGAAGACATAGCCTCAACACCTGAACTGGACGATGACGATGACTCCTCGCCATGCCTATTCGTCTATCGGGTCGTCATTCGTAACACAAGATCCTGTTTCTCACGGCATCGCCGGTAAGGCTGCCCGGCATATCCTAGTGAGGTATGCCAGCGAGGGACGAATGCAGGACACCTCGTAAAAAGAAACATGGCGTTTTTGATCCTAGTCAAATCTCCCCCCTCGTGTAGTGCGGTAAGATTCTCATATATAAGATAGTGGCTTAAATAGTGGACAAGTCTCTTGCTTGTGTATCAGCAGCAAGTCTCATTCGTTTTCTTATACCCGACGCTTTTTGGTCTCTCTCACGCTCTATATAGAGCTATATCGTGACGCAAAGAGGATTGAGCGTTACATAAGTGCCCTACGTGGGTAGAACTGGCAGCTATGAAGCTCCAAGCTCTTCTTCTCCTAGTATTTGGCCTGAGTGCTTCTGTCACGGCCATTCCAGGGGATCCAGCCAGTGAAGTGAATGTCCAACCACAATACCACAGACCCACGACAACAACCAAGGGCAAACCCACCACCAAGACAACTAGTACCAAAACCAAAACCACCACCAAGATCACCGAGCCAACAGAACGACCCTGTGCCGGCAACACCCCCCGAACACGGTCCAAATGGTGCCAATACGACGTCAACACCGACTACACCCAGATAGTACCAAACACAGGCGTAACACGGGAATACTGGCTCAACCTCGAAGAGCTAATGGCCGCACCAGATGGGTTCCGCCGGCCCGTAATGGCCGTGAACGGTACAATCCCCGGCCCAACGATCTTCGCCGACTGGGGTGACTGGGTCGTGATCCACGTCAAGAACAGCCTACACAAGTCCCAGAACGGGACTAGCATCCACTGGCATGGGATCAGACAGAACTACACCAACGGCAACGACGGCGTGGTCTCCATCACGCAATGTCCCACCGCGCCGGGCTCAACCATAACCTATAAATGGCGCGCCGTGCAGTACGGTTCATCGTGGTACCATTCCCATATTGGCCTACAGGCCTGGGAGGGTGTGTTTGGCGGGATTGTGATCAATGGCCCTGCTACAGCCAACTACGATGTCGATAAAGGCAGTCTGTTCCTGACGGACTGGTCGCATCCCACTGTCGATGAACTGTACTTGGAGGCTCAGACGGTTGGTCCGCCGACTTTGGATACTGGCTTGATCAACGGGACGAACGTCTTTGGTAATGGTACCAATTCTACGGGTCAGCGGTTTCATATGAAGGTTAATCAAGGTTCTTCGTACCGGCTGCGGATTGTTAATTCGGCTGTTGATACGCACTGGAAGTTTATGATTGATAACCATACACTTACCATTATTGCAGCGGACTTTGTGCCAATCAAGCCTTTCACGGCGGATCATATCGATATTGGAATGGGTTAGTTACTGTTTTTTTTTTTTTTTTTTTAATTTTGATATCAAAACCCCCAACCCTAACTTCTCCAAACAAAAAAACTCAACAACTAACAAAAAGCTCACCCATAGGCCAACGCTACGACGTAATCGTAACAGCAAACAAACGTCAAATCTCCGACTCATTCTGGATCCGCGCAATTCCCCAAGAAGCTTGCTCGGAAAACGCAAACCCAAATAATATAAAAGGAATCCTCTACTACGGCAATCGTCCCCGCACACCCACGACAAGACCCTACGCCTTCACGGATGAATGTGTCGACGAGCCCGCCTCCAGTCTAGTCCCGCAAGTTCCCAAGACCGTCTCAACGGCAGATTGGAACAACCTAACGGATGTGACACTCGGGCGCAACAACGCGAACCTCTTCCGCTGGTACCTCAACAGCACGACGATGCAAGTCCTCTGGGAAGATCCTACCTTACTCCAACTCTTCAACAGCGAAAACACGCCCAACTTCACTGCATCTAGTGGAGTGATTGAGCTGCCACGGGCGCACGAATGGGTCTACCTCATGATCAACACTAGTTTCCCGGTGACGCATCCGATTCATTTGCACGGACACGATTTCTTTGTTCTGGCGCAGGGTTTGAATCCGTGGGATGGGAGTGTTGCGACTAATAATCCGCCGCGGAGGGATACGGCGATGTTGGCTGGGAATGGGTTTTTGCTTATTGCATTTGAGACGGATAATCCCGGGGCATGGCTTATGCATTGCCATATTGGGTGGCATACGGATGAAGGGTTTGCGTTGCAGTTTTTGGAGAGGGAGAGGGAGATTGAGCCGTTGATCGATCGGAAAGCTCTTGATGATAATTGTGCTTCTTGGAATGCTTATGATGCGGCTTTTGATATTGAGCAGGAGGATTCAGGGGTTTAGGGGGGCTTAGGGCGGGCCATGGATATGTGGCTCTAGATGGGTTCGGTGATTGTTTATTGTTTTCTTTGGAGTGTGCTTCGTATTTAGGTAGGTCGTGCTTCGGTGGGTTATATCGCCAATTTATCGTCTCTGAATATTTATGTTATATCTTGTTTGTTGATCTATACATTGACAGCGTTCCCCAAGTTAGTAGCTTGGGTACATTCATTGTTGATCTCAGTAGTACATGTATACTACATTCAGAAGGCTGACAAAGAGATTAAATACAATTGACTATATTGCCTATCAACGAGAGACTATAGAAAGGAAGAGGATTTTCATAGATTGATGAATCAAGACTTATTCCTTCTCTCTCTCTACCGCAGCCAGTAGCTGTAACAGAGAGTATCTCTACCAAAGTCACATCTATAAACAAACGAGGACACTTGGATACATAAAACAGTGACGGAATCAAATGTTGAATGAATTCCGACTGGACCTTAATCCCGGAGATGGATCCAAATTCCTACCCACTTACGAGTCAGGGCCATATGGATTCTTGACAAGATCAGTATTGATCGTGTCCGGGCCGCAGCACAGTTTGTACGACTTGTCACGACTCTCCAGGCAATTTTCCTCGGTGAAGTCCAAATCACCCCATTCGCGAGGCCATGATGCCTCGAGCTTGCAACCAGGAACCTCCTTGTCAGGAAGCTTCTCACTTGTACCTTTGAATATGGCATATACAGTAACGGTGCTGTTGGCGGTATTCTGATCCGCGACGTCTAGGACTGTTAGTCTAGCTACTACTTAATGAATAACAATGATACGACTCACTATAGGGTCCACCCCAAGTGTGGCAGCGCTTTGCATCATTGAACAAAACACAGCCCTTTTCAACATGCTATTGTCTGAATTAGTCACGGATAGGAGTGATAGGAGTGATAGGAGGCCCTTTTAGCAATCTTACAAGATTGGTCCCAGTGCTGGTGTATCCCTCAGGGTTTTCACAGGGCCAATAGGGTGATTCTTTCCCGTTACCGGATTCCAGATTGTCGCCAACGACGTTACTATCCAGACAAACCGGCAAATTGAAGAATCCAGGAGTTCGGACGCTAGGGACATTATCCCCGCCAAAGCTGCCCACGATACCATCAATATCAGCCTTCGGGTACCCATTCTGGTTGTTATTGGCAGCAAAGCCCTCAACGCTGCTGATGACGATGTCTTCAATCGTAATTCCACCGTAGTCCTTTCCGTTCAGAGTATCATGGTCTCCACCTGGAAGAACGCTCCCGATACTTCCCCCATGACCATTCACCAGCAAATGCATGTAGTTTTTGTAGCACACATACACCTTGCTTCTCGATGACTTGTCAACCAAGACGGCTCCGATGAGAGGCCTGAGGTTTTCGTTGCAGTAAATTTTGCTCTTCCTTTAGCCAGTACGAGTTAGCCTCTTTCACGGCTAGGAACAAAACAAAGTTATTGAACTAACTTACCAGACAAAAGGACGTGCATTATCCGGAGAAACACTCCATGCATACGAGATCATCTGACCGTAGAGGATCTTTTCCACGTCGGTGCTCGTGCCGACGAGGTTAAGCTTGTCCATAGCTGCGGCTATAGTACCACCGTCGATTGTGGTATAGAGAGATTCGATAGCACTGCTGGAGTTCCCAGAGAATATTGACTCAAGATAAGATGACTCCAAATTCTTCCAGGCTGTCATAGTCACGCCTACAAAAGAATCGATGGTATTCTGGACCTTAAGTCCCTCTACCGCACTATCAATTCGTTAGGTTGGGGTGTATCCAAGTCAGGGGGGAGAAGTACCCTTTCATGTTCGTCTTATAGTAGGTAACAGCGGTAGCGAGGATAGCACCCGTCATCTCAGCGGCAATTGCTTTAGTGATTACATTCGCCACGTTCTGAAGGACTAGTAGACGTTAGATCTCATGTACTATTAGCTTAGAGGCTAAAAAGAGTAACATACCGACGTTATACATTACAGATGTGCCAAGGGTGACAACTAACATTACAGCATCGATGATCATCTTAATCATGTTTCCGTTATCTTTAGGCTGAGGGGCGAATGCAGACGTGAAGGTGCCAACATTGTTCGTCACACTAGCCTGGGCAAGCCCAACGGCCTGGAAAACCGATGCATGGAGCTATACAAGTAATCAGCACATTTAAACTGAAGGAATGGCTCATCCAAGGATAGGTTAGTGACATACTTGATGGATACCCGCAAATCCATTCAGAATCATAGCACTGCCTCGTTATTAGAAATACTATATGGTAGGTGGCAGGAAACAGATAATGTGACTTACCCAGCTGGAATAGTAGCATCGCTGCACTCCACAGGCTGGGAGCAACGGTTCTCGGTGCCAATGTCGTCACATCTCATGCCTTGAGGTCCATGGATAAAGCTGCTGAAGAACTGTGGGAAGCCATCAGTGGTCGACTGGTCATTCCAGGCTGCAATGGTGGTATCCCAGGCAGATTTTGCACCTGCCTCCTGCCATTGAGTCGCAGGGTCACCCTGGATCTGGGAGCATTGCATGGTCTTCCAAGCATCTCCGGTAGGGGAAGACGAAGGAGGTGCCGAGGCAGAAGGGGCACGAACCCGGAGGGCGTTCCGACCTACGGTCAAACCGCTCACCGAGATGGCAAGATTGGCTAAAATGCCAAGTTCTAGGACTCGCATGGTGAAGTGAGGATCAAAAGAATGGATCTTTAAACAAAAAAGATGAGATGAAAGATAAATAGACTAGCATGATGTCCTTTATATCTTCCTCGAGGCACTAATCAAAATAGATAAAACGCATTTCACTATTAAGGCAGGCAAGCATGCGACCAAACCTGGAGGTTGAAGACCAAAAGCGGCAACTCCACGCATAATGTTGATCTTCCGCCACATCCGTCTCATATACCATTTCCTCGATCTGGTATAGTTTAATTTATATGAAATATTTCCATAAGAATGCGTCAGCCAAGGTCGCAATCCTTATCACTTTCCTACCCTGTTATTTTACTGAAATATTTTCTTTCTTTTAAGGAGTTATTCAAAAGTTACTAAATGTGACTCTTCAAATTAGGGCATCTCACTATGGTATATACACCATGGCAGTATCCTTATAAATTCTCTGTCAAAATAATTCACTACATTCGGACCTCGGTGTTATCTAAACATTCTAGCCCCAAACTTTATGCCCCAGAGAGCGTTTGCCCCGGTTTAGTCTATATATATGCCGGTGCGCGCCAAGCACCAAACCTGTGACCGTTTAGGAAAATGAGAGTGAACTGAGAAATAGGCTTTTGATCCTTCACCGGGGATTTCAATTCCTCCTAATCCGAAATACTACATAACAAGCAGGGATAGTCAAAACCCAGAATGGATATCCGGTACATCGAATACGGTCCTTTATTTTGACTGATGATTGGAGACGTTCTTCTTTTTTGTTTTCTGGCCCAAACTATCATATGATCAGCTCTAACAACATGTATCCTTTTCAGCCGACGTTCGACAAAAGCAAGAAACGCTCACTGGAATATCTGCAGATGCTAGGGCGATATCGCGTGCAGGTTCAATCAAAGCCACTTCCGCAGTCTTTCCAAGTCGAGTGAGACATTCATATAATCCATGCAGCCCCCACACATTGTTGAGCTTTGCCCTGCGCCGAGGATAGTCCATGGCAAATCCCAGATCCTGTTTGAACAGCGCTTCGGCCTCCCCGACGCGATTCTGCTCTAGAAGCAACCCACCAAGGGCATGGCGGACTGGCTGCATCCAGGGGGGCGGGTCAGAGTATGCAAGTCCATCCTCGCGCACAATAGCTTCCCTAAGAAAGGAAAATGCTTCCTCGATGTTTCCTTTCCGGTACTCCAATTCTCCAGCAAGCATGGCTGAGGCTACCCCTAGCACGTCTTCTTCCTTGCATGGTATGCTATTGAGTCGCGTACTAGGGACCGCCCTGCGCGCCGTTTCAAACTCTTTCTGGGCATTTTTGGCTTCTGCAATCCGCCCAAGTGCGCTAAACGCAAGCCCACGGGTATAATAAATGATAGCTGTGGTCACACAGTATGTATCACGATCTGTGGGAAGCTCAAGGTCAAGAACCTGCTCCCAGCGACCAAAACGCACCAGAACATGTGCCTTGCTCCCCACAAAGCTCTCAATAAAGTCGGCCATCGGGGGACTTTTTATCGCTAGCACTTGAGGATCTATGACCTTTTCAAGCTTTTCTGCGGCAGAAATTGCGTCTGAGAAGCGGCCGGACATCATAGCGGAATACAATTTCGCACAGATATAGTGTACCCGGTAGGCTGTGTACAGAACTAACCCCGTCTCTCGGGCAAAATAGATGTCGTCGGCAAGGATCGCCTGATGGTTGGAGTCAATACCCCGGCGGTAATCGCCCACTGCCGCATCGATGTGCGTCGGCATATGCAACATGTGCGAAGCATGCGGAACCATCCCACGGAGTCGATCCGCAGCCGGTAGAGCCAATTCTGGGAATGGCGACATCTCCAACATATGGATATGCAGGTGACAGAGTGCCGGATGGTTGTGACCGGTAGGCTGCCTCAGTCCCAGCTCAATGACATTGCGAGCCTCGACTGTGTGATCTCCTGTAGGCTTGCCACTATCCAAGTCCCACAGTCCGCGTGGGGTGATACACATCAGTGCCTCGGCGAACAGAGCAGCGACGTCTATATCGTTGCTAAATTTCTGATACACAGGGCGCATGGCATTTGCGTATGCGCGGTCAAATGGACTCAGGTCGTCGGGTATGTCATGGACGGATGGAAAGCGGGCGCCAATGGCTTCGATCAATGCCTGTTCGACTGGGCTGGCATGGCTGGCCAGCTTGCGTGCCCGCGCTAGGACACCATTGACCTTCTCGATAGAAGCCCGGCGATCTTTTGGATCAAAGAACTTCCAAGCCTTATTGTAATTCGGTCCGGTTGCGTATGCGACTCCCCACAACGCTATCGCGCAATTGGGATCACTTTTCGCTACTCGTTGGAAGCATCGTTCTGCCTCATCATGATTGAAAGAATATGCCCATATCAATCCGCGATCAAACCACAGTTGGGCTTCTGCCGAAGAGGTGGTCACCGGTCGATGATGCGAGCCAAGATCGTAATAGTCCTCTTCGCCAACTGAGGCAGGACGTTCGTACTGGTCCCTAATTGAGGTATTAGAGTAAATTTTGAATTATAAAAAAGCACTGCGATACTTACTGCATACTGGAGTACTAGGCTCACTCAAAAGATTTTGGTTCGGCTTGACTGATCACGCGGTAGTTCCCTCTACCATTTAAATTGGTAGAACAGATAGAACCTTGGTTTCCTTCAATCCAATTTTCTTCTCGCGCAAGAATATAAATTGAAGATGGCCTAATCAAGATTGATCTACCCAGGACTTGATGAAATAATGAAGCATCAATAGTATTTAATACGGAGTAGTGATGACGAAAAAGGAGAGGTAAAATGAAGATCGGTGAGGGGCTTACACGCCAATAAGTACCTGGTCTCGTGCTCTCGTGTCTATATAGGGTCATGTGATACCCATATTTGGTGTGATTTGGTGTCCATACTGAGAGGTAGCTTAGATAACTGAAGGAGTCACCTCGGGCTATCCTGCGGACTGGCTCATTCATACGACAGTTAGGAGGCCAGTCCCAGTCTGGCAGCCCATCGGTATCTCTCACTGTCCCGCCCAATCCCTACCAGCATTTGAGATATGATCGTGATACACTCAGGCGTCAAGGCCTTTCTTGCAGATTAGTTAGTCACATCTCTCTCTTTCCAAGGTTGCTACATGGGCTATATAGATAGCTCTATGACGGTAGGTAGATTCATCACCTACATCTATCATCCATCTCTCTGGTTGATCTTCTTACATCCACCATCGTAGACATAGCAGTATATGTCTCATCGGGTCATATCCGATCTCCTATAGAATATTTGGAGTATTACGATGGTTACATAGATCTATCACTATCTGGGAGGTAGATTAGTAGTAGCACGATTTAATCACACTGATGTTATATATTCGTACTCTTATCTCTCCATTCCAAGAAATAAAGGGAACCCGACGTGATGACCTCTGTACCTTTTGTATAGGCATATCATACAAAATCCCTGGTGATACGCTTTTTTCTGTGTCTAACTATAAAATTAAGGGAAAGATAACTAAAACATGATATCTAGAAACAATATCTGAGAAGACCACCGAAGGGACTACACAAGGCCTCATGAATGATAAGAGTATTCTCGTATACCTCATTTCATCCTGCGAACCATCCAGTGGGGCACAATACTAGGAAAGTGGTGCCCGGCGCTTGTCATAAGATTTTCCCGAGGTACTTCCGAGGTCCACTCCACGTTGATGATACTTGATCTAAAAACATCATGTAAATGTAATACAGTGTCAATTAGTATATGGCCATGTACATACCTCGCACCATTTGATAGCATTACTCAGCACCGATTCATCCTTCCAGGGATTCTCAACCCATTTTCCTTCAACAAGGTAAACGGGTGCGTCCCTGACGTGAACCAACTTCACCGCCTCCATACATGCGAATGAGAGCTTCCACGTTCACACGCTGTACTTGACCAATTTCTATTAGAAGATAATATTTCGGCTGTCTGGTTCTTTCTGCGGGTTGCAGGACGAAGGGTATAGGACAGACTGTACTAAACACGGACTATGAATCGACCATTTCGGAAAGTGGACACGAGGGGTGGAGATGGGAGATGTCCTGTGGAGCAGAAGATCTAGATCACGTGAACTGGCTACAGTACACAGTTGAGAGAATAATAGCACCAAGGTATTCTATCCACGAGCCTTCCAATGCTAAACATACACAAATCGATATATCGTTAAATCTTTCATCAAACCCCCCGAGCCAAGTGGCATAAACCACAATTTCAAAAAGATATACTCCAACCCATCGGTAAGGGTTTGTTTTGTCATAGCTCAGATGATAGTGATAGTCATGACATTACAAGATCAATCCCACTCAAAGCAGGGTCTTCATATCAGCCATGTTACGGACACCAACGAGGTTGCCAGCCTTGATACGCTTAAGTGTCAGGGCGGCAATCACGGCAGCACCAACACCGGAACCATCCTCGGCAGCCATGATAGAGACCTTGTCCTTCTCGGTAGGCGCCCAGTCGAGGATCTCGCGCAGGGCCTGGGCACCGCGCGCCTTGAAGTGGGGGTACTTGGTGAAGACGGAGCCATCAGCACCGACGTGGCAGGACTCGATGTTCTTCTTAGTACAGATAGCAGCGACTCCGCAGGCGGACAGGCGAGCGGCACGGGTACCGATTAGCTCAGCGAGACGGCGGACTAGCTCCAGCTCTGGCTGGGTGGGGCGGATGCCCAGCGTACGTTCGAAGAGATCCAAGGTCTCTGTGAGGTTCTCATAGGGGTCCTCTTCGATGTTGGCGAGGAAGGAGGCATCGAGCAGGTAGGGCTTGCGCAGCTTAGAGACGTCCTGGCCGTTGAAGATCAGACCGGGCTTGTTGTCAACCAGGTCAATTAGTGCGAGACGGAAGATCTCGCCGAGGTACAGACCAGCAGTCATCTTCTCGAAGGCTTGCTGGCCAGGGCGGGGGGAGTCGCGGTCGATGATGTCATCATATTTGGTGAGAGGGAGTACCACGTGCTCATTGTCGAAGGCTCCGTACTCGCAGTTAATGGCGACGGGCATGTCGGCAGGCAAGTTCATGTGGGCGAGCTTAGGTATAGACCCTGCGTTCTCCATGTATGCGGCGTTGACGCCGGTACCGAAGATGCAGCCAATCTTCATCTCGGTGTCGGTGTAAGAGGATGCAATGAGGGTACCGGTGGTGTCGTTGATAAGAGCTGCAACTTTAATGGGGAGGCCCTGTAGCCTTGTGAGTCTTTTGAGCCTGCATGGGGAAGGTAACAACTCAAGGATCAACATACGCGCTTCTTCAGGATCTCCTCCAGAGGGGGAACAACATCCTGGCCCTCGACACCATCAATGTCAAAGCCCTTGGTCCAGCGCTGCAGAATACCGTGATCAATATATTCCTGGGTGGCGGGATAGGAGAAAGTAAAACCGAGGGGCAGCTTGGCGAGGTTTCCGTCGTCGTGGTGGGTCTCGATGAACTGCTGCAAGCAGTCGGCAATGTACTCCCACAACTCCTCGGCGGTTCCAGTCCGCAGCTCTTCTGGCATCTTATATTTAGATTGTGTGATATCGAAAGCGCTCTTCTCCTCGGTCAAGGTAATTTCGCAGACACGTAGGTTGGTGCCGCCCATATCGAGGGCCAGGTAGGTTCCCTGCTCGTTTCCATCGGGGAAGTCCAAGACCCAGGTAACATTCATGGGCTGTTTTCTAAGGTCAGTATATATTGTGGTCGGGGGATTGATGTCGTTCTCACAATGTTGCCGCCCTCAACAGTTAGGCCTATGTTTGTTAGCGATGCGGAGAATCGGAGAGCTCCGGATAAGTCTCAACTCACCTTTCTCAAGCTCCTTAACGAAGTGGTTCACTATCTCCTTAAGCTTGGAGCGATCCACTGTGAAAGCCTTCTCGAAGTCCTGAATGGGCCCCAACAAGTTCTGGGGCAGTTCGTGCATGGACCCTGTACGACATAGTTAGTATACTAATAATACAGGGGTTTAAAGAGCCTCACCCTTCCGGGACGGCGGGTGCTTAGGGCCAAGTCCAACCATGATGAATATAAATTGAAGTTGAGGGAAGGTAAAAGAGAAAGGAAGTTTTGGGGGGGGGAAATGACGATATGGGAAAAAAAACGTGGGGCAACTCTAGATGTCTTGTTTTGGCTGTCGGAGAGAAAGTAGGAAAGTCAATTGGACGGGGGCGATATCTCGACTATAAATATTTTTATTACCAATTGTGTCTTAGACTTAAAATTACATTAAATACCAGGTCTTCATAAATATGACTTCAATGATCGACATTCAAGAACAAGATCAATCTCTTGGCATGTTGACCTAGGTATCCACGTTATAATTTGACTATGAGCCTATATCTACAAAATACACAAAGTGAATGAATATCGTATTTCTGCCTATTTAAACACATTTCATGATCATCTTAATGTGACAGCTTACGCGCTAAATGGGGGAAAACATGGTCGAGACCCCCAGACTGGCGGTGTGCCTTCTCGTGTGACTCCAGCGTCTCGCGTACTTTGTTCTGATACGCATCTGTCAACCCCAGAGTTCGATCGACCTCTTCCGTTAGTCGGTCCACTTCGTCCTGCAGTCGTTCGTCTCGAGTCTGTAGCGGAGCATTCTCCTCCGCCCTTTGTTGCGGGTCCGGGTTGGTTTCCTCCCACAATGCCTCCAATTCCTCACTCCATCCCAGAGCCTTTGCAAATTTGCGCACTCCAGCATCACAGTCTCCAATCACCAACACATCGTCACTCCGCGATCCAAGACCACCAACACGCTCCATGTTGATAAGCAAGCGAGGCACGCCTTGACTAACCATTGAAGGCAGACTGGCAAATGGCTGGACGGACAGACTAGTTCCCATGACAATGCAGAGATCGGCCTCTTCTGGCAGAGGGCGGCTTTCAAAGAATTCTGATGGTAGAGATTCCCCAAAGAACACAATGTCCGGCTTGACCAGGCCATTGCAGTGGTGGCAGTGGGGTACTTCGCACTTAGATACTATCTCGTGCATCTCCTCGTCGGGGAAGGTCTCCTTGCATTCAATGCAGCGCTGTGACGCAAAACTGCCATGGGCCTCGACGATCTTCTCGCCTGGCACACCTGCCTGGCGCTCGAGGCAGTCGATATTCTGAGTAAAATGCTTCAAGAGCATCCCTTTGTTGTAAAGCAGCTTGATGAATGAGTGCACGATGGTTGGGCGATAGCGTCCAGGGTACAGCTCGTGCGCCAGCGCATAGAAAGGTTTGGGGTTACTCCGGAAGAAGCCAATATCAAAGACTGCTTCAGGCTCTGGCAGGTCTAACTTTGCCAGATTAGCGTAGATTCCCGTATCAGGTGAACGAAAGTCCGGAATGCCTGCCGAAGTGCTGATTCCCGCTCCCACCTGCATGCTTGATTAGCTCTGATGCACAGTTACATAGGGATTCACAGTGCATACCATCACCACAACTTTCTTCACATTGTGCTGTTTAACATATTTGGCGAGTGCCTCAATGTTGCGCTCCTCAAGCACCGAGGGGGCCATGGATTCATCCACCTCGATTGACGATTCGTTGCCCATGGTGCGCCGATTTGGACGTCTGGGTTTGCGGCGTCCGATGATAGCGGTGGGGGACTTGACAGATAAAAAAAGTCAAGTCTTGAGACGTGTAGATCACAATCAAAAGATCAACAGAGAAAGGTTCACAGAAAAGAAAAAGGGAAACTGAAAAAGAGCAAACGATATGGAACCTTGAGCGTGGGGGAAAATGACGTCGGCCTGATTCACAACCTCATTAAAACACGCCAGATAAAAAACGATAAACAAGCAAAAAAAGCTCAAGGCACGTTAGGAAAAGTTCTACTTGTTTTAACAATTTGGAGTCTAAAGACCCAGTCTTGACGTAGCACAGTAACTGGAAGCTTGAGGCTGTAAAACCCACTCTCACCGCCCGCAGGACCCCCCTACAACTGGCGTGGCATCAACAAACCAACTTGCGATAACCAATGGCGCCCAGGATGGCTGCAAGCGCCAATGGGCATAATTCTATGCCCCAAAGTCCTCCAAACACCAATGCCTCACCCACAGAGACGTCTCCTCCCCAACAGCCCGACATCTTCAACGCAAGCTCCGTCGCCGAGATCAAAGCCACGCTGTCCCACCTGCACACCCAAGAAGCGTCTGTGACCGCCCGACTCGATGCCCTGGTAACATCCCAGAAAGATCTCTCTCGGGAGCTGGGCAGGCTGGACTTGATGCGCGCCAACATTGGGACCCACGCCAGCACGACCCGTTCCATCAGCCATGGAATGCTCTCCGAAGCCGCCGGCACCGCCGACCGGATCTCCAGCGCAGTCCGGCGGTTAGATCTCGAACAGGCTCGGGTGAAAGCCACTCTAGAGGTTGTCGAGCAGGTTGCCGAGCTCAAGGCGTGTGCGCTGGGCGTGGCAGGATCGATGGGTGCATCCCAGGACTGGGAGAAAGCCGCCAGCTACCTACACCGCGCAGCTCAGATCCCGGTGACGGTCGTCAATGGTGCGTTTGCTGCAGATATGGTTCCTACAGCTGAAGTGCCGGACCCGCCAAGTGTGACGCTGGATAACGCGGCGGAGTCGCTGTGCGGGCTGTTCCTGCGAGAGTTTGAAAAGGCGGTTAAGGAGAATGATGGAGCCAAGATTACGCGCTTCTTCAAGCTTTTCCCGCTTATTGGTCGCTCCGAAGTTGGACTCGATGTTTATGGTCGCTATGTGTGCCAGGGCGTCGCGGCCAAGGCTCGGGCTAACCTTAACGGGGCTGCCGGGGGTGCTCAAACTAAGGATGGCTTCTTCTATGCCAATGCGCTTACCAAACTGTTTGAGCATATTGCGCAGATTATTGATGGCCATGGCGGGCTCGTTGAGCACCACTATGG